TACTAATCATTTGGGGAAAAGAAAGTAGAGATGTCTGGGTAGCTCAGGGGTTGACTGCCTGCCTTCAGCTCACGGTGTGATCCTGGGTCTGAGGATCGAGTCCCACATTGGGCTCCCTGTGAAAAGCTTCTCCTTCTGCCTATGTCTCTGCCTCTCTCTGATGAATGAAAGAAAAAAAGAAAGAAAAGAAAAGAAAAGAAAAGAAAAGAAAAGAAAAGAAAAGAAAAGAAAAAAAAAAAGAAAAGAAAAGAAAAAAGAAAAGAAAAGAAAAGAAAAGAAAAGAGAGAAGAAAAGAAGAGAAGAAAAGAAAAGAAAAGAAAAGAAAAGGAGGCCAAGAATGAACAAAATGGAAGGTAATAGCTCATGGATCTCATACCAACCTTAATCCATACTTAATTTCTTCTCCATAACGTCTCACTACACATAAGAACATAGTTTTTTCAATCTCCTTTCAACAGACTTTGGTGTACAACCTTACTAAAGGCTTTCTGAAACATAAATGAGCAGATTTTCTCAAAGAAAAGGACAGAGGGATAGAAAGGGATTCCTAGTCTCACTACATATTAGTTTACATGACAATTTAAAATCAAGGATTCCCAGAATGAGGGGATATCAAAGAATGATGTGATACATACAGCTCACACACAGCAGGTGTGAAACACATTAACATCCCCACTATTCAATCAAACAAACTCTGGATGTATCCAAAAGTCAAACATTTTAATTATAAGGAAACTTCCAGAAAATATATTTATTAGGTCCATAAAACGGGGGGGAACCTTCTCAGCTTAAGAGCAATTATTTAGCTCTTTTCGTGCCTAGTGCAGCCATGGCTTGTGGTCCCAAGAAGCATCTGAAGCATGTAGCAGCTCCAAAGCACTGGATGCTGGATAAACTGACCAGTGTGTTTGCCCCTCGCCCATCTACTGGCCCCCATAAATTGAGAGAATGTCTTCCTCTCATCATTTTCCTAAGGAACAGACTTAAGTATGCCCTAACAGGAGATGCAGTGAAGAAGATCTGTATGCAGCATTTTATTAAGATTGATGGCAAGTCTGAACTGATATCACCTACCCTGCTGGTTTTATGGATGTCATCAGCATTGACAAGACTGGGGAGAATTTCCATCTAATCTATGACACCAAGGGTCGTTTTGCTGTTCATCGGATTACACCTGAGGAGGCCAAGTATAAGTTGCACGAAGTGAGAAAGATCGTGGTGGGAACAAAAGGAATCCCTCATCTGGTGACTCATGATGCTCGCACCATCCGCTATCCTGATCCCCTCATCAAGGTGAATGACACCATTCAGATTGATTTGGAGACTGGAAAGATTATTGATTTCATCAAGTTTGATACTGATAATCTGTGTATGGTGAATGGAGGCGCCAACCTGGGAAGAATTGGTGTGATCACCAAAGGAGAGAGGCACCCTGGTTCTTTTGATGTAGTTCACGTGAAAGATGCCAATGGCAACAACTTCACCACCCAATTCTCCAACATTTTTGATATTGGCAAAGGCAGCAAACCATGGATTTCTCTTCCCCACACAAAGGGTATCTGCCTCACTATTGCTAAGGAAAGAGACAAGAGACTGGCAATCAAACAGAACAGTGGGTAAAATGGTCCCTAGGTAATGTGATTGAAAGTCTTTATACTTAAAGATTCTACAGCATGGGAAAAAAAAAAAGAGGAATTATTTTTAAAAAATGAAGAAATATATATATTCTATATATATTCAATAAATACTTAGTGTTTGCTATGTGCCAGGCAGGCAGTGTTCATGGAATCAGTCACGTACTAAAATTTTTGAGTCAATAAAAAAATAGCAAAATTAAAACAAGTAGCATACCAAGCAGGAAAATTTTGCATTAAAAATTTCAAAAGGTTGGGCACCTGGGTGGCTCAATTAGTTAACCATCTGGCTCTTGGTTTCAGCTCAGGTCATGATCTCAGGGTGGTGGAGATCAAGCCCTGCATTTGGCTCCGCACTCAGTACAGAGTCTCCTCAGCATTCTTTCCCTTCGCCCTTTCCCTCTGTCCCTCCCTCACTCATGTTTTCTCTCTAAAATAAAGAAATAAAATATTTTTAAAAAATTTCAAAAGTCCAAAAATCATGATAGAAACTTACTTAAACTTATAAAAAACTAATCTGGATCATAATAGATCAAAGAGAAAAATATCACCAAACTAGTACTGTATAAAAAAATAAAAATTGATTTCTCATATTTGGAAAACATTCATTTTTGTTAATAATCAAAGGAGTGCCAAATAGAACAATCTGAAGTACTATTTTATTTTTTTTAAAGATTTTATTTATTTATTCATGAGAGACACAGAGAGAGAGAGTCAGAGACACAGGCAGAGGGAGAAGCAGGCTCCATGCAGGGAGCCCCACGTGGGACTTGATCCCAGGTCTCCAGGATCATGCCCTGGACTGAAGGTGGCGCCAAACTGCTGAGCCCACCGGGGCTGCCCTAAAGCACTATTTTATATCTAAATTAAAGTAGGAAATACAAATCAAAACCACAATGAGATACCACCTCACACCAGTGAGAATGGGGAAAATTAGCAAGGTAGGAAACCACAAATGTTGGAGAGGATGCGGAAAAAAGGGAATCCTCTTGCACTGTTGGTGGGAATGTGAACTGGTGCAGCCACTCTGGAAAACTGTGTGGAGGTTCCTCAAAGAGTTAAAAATAGATCTGCCCTACGACCCAGCAATTGCACTGCTGGGGATTTACCCCAAAGATACAGATGCAGTGAAATGCCGGGACACCTGCACCCTGATGTTTATAGCAGCAATGTCCACAATAGCCAAACTGTGGAAGGAGCCTCCGTGTCCATTGAAAGATGAATGCATAAAGATGTGGTTTATGTATACAATGGAATATTAGCCATTAGAAATGACAAATACCCACCATTTGCTTCGACGTGGATGGAACTGGAGGGTATTATGCTGAGTGAAATAAGTCAATCGGAGAAGGACAAACATTATATGGTCTCATTCATTTGGGGAATATAAATAATTGTGAAAGGGAATAGAGGGGAAGGGAGAAGAAATGGGTAGGAAATATCTGAAAGGGAGACAGAACATGGAAGAATCCTAACTCTGGGAAACGAACTAGGGGTGGTGGAAGGGGAGGAGGGCAGGGGGTGGGGGTCACTGGTTGGCGGGCACTGAGGGGGGCACTTGACGGGATGAGCACTGGGTGTTATTCTGTATGTTGGCAAATTGAACACCAATAAAAAATAAATTTATTATTAAAAAAAATAAAGTAGTAGGCACCATCTATGTTAGTGAGATGGTGGTGAAAGAGAAGCCTTTGTAGGGTGTCTTTCTCTCTGCATGCAGCCTATTCTGTAGACTGCCTCTAGAAAGCAATACACAGAAAAAACCCAGGGAATGATCAGTTTCTGACCAGAGAATGCTACCCAACACTATAATTGAGGAAATAATTTTAGTGGCTCAACAGTGTATGCAAGAAATGAATATAGCAAATTTAGAATACCAGAAATAATATGTATTTTTAAAAACAGACATTTTCCAAAGAAGACATTTAGATGGCTAACAGACACATGAAAAGGTACTCAACATTACTTATCACCAAGGAAATGCAAATCAAAACTATAATGAGATACCACCTCATACCTGTCAGAATGGCTAAAATCAACAACATAAGAAACAACAGGTGTTGGCAAGGATGTGGAGAAAGGGGAAACCTTTTGCACTGTTAGTGGGAATGCAAACTGGTACAACACTCTGGAAAACACTATGGAGGTTTCTCAAAAAGCTAAAAATAGAATGACCCTATCATCCAGCAATCACACTACTAGGTATTTACCCAAAGAATACAAGAGTACTAATACAAAAGGAGATGTACACTCTAATATTTATAACAGTATTATCTACAATAGCCAAATCATGGAAATAGCCCAAGTGTCCATCCACTGATGAATAAAGAAATGTGTGAGTGTGTGAGCACATGTGCATGTATAAAATGGAATATTACTCAGCCATAAAAAGAATGAAATCTTAACAGTTGCAATGACATGCATGGAGCTAGAAGAGTATAATGCTAAGCAAAACAAGTCAGTCACAGAAAGACAAATACCACACGATTTCACTCATATGTGGAATTTAAGAAACAAAACAAACAAAGTGGGGAAAAAGGGAGAGAGGCAAACCAACAAACAGACTCTTTTTTTTTTTAAAATTTTTATTTATTTATGATAGTCACAGAGAGAGAGAGAGAGAGGCAGAGACACAGGCAGAGGGAGAAGCAGGCTCCATGCACCGGGAGCCCGACGTGGGATTCGATCCTGGGTCTCCAGGATCGCGCCTTGGGCCAAAGGCAGGCGCCAAACCGCTGCGCCACCCAGGGATCCCCAGACTCTTAATTATAGAGAACATAGTAATGATTACTGAAGGGGAGGTGGGGGGGATGGGCTAAATAGGTGACAAGGATTAAGGAGTACACTTGCTGTGATGAGCACGGCATAGTGTATGGAAGCATTGAAGGAAAAAAAGTAGTTTTTATTTATTTTATTTTATTTTTTTATTTTTTAATTTTTATTTATTTATGATAGTCACACAGGGAGAGAGAGAGAGAGGCAGAGACACAGGCAGAGGGAGAAGCAGGCTCCATGCACCAGGAGCCCGACATGGGATTCGATCCCGGGTCTCCAGGATCGTGCCCTGGGCCAAAGGCAGGCGCCAAACCACTGCGCCACCCAGGGATCCCAAAAAAGTAGTAAAGTAGTTTTTAGAAGTCATACATATGAACATGGAAAAATATTAATGGCATAAATGAGACAAATATGTACATGTAGTCTCAGAAATCAAAATGAAACAGAATGAAGGAATTACAGATAATTTTTATAATGTTCTATATATAATGCTAAATTACCTTTTTATTTAAAAGTTCAGTTTATTTTTATTTAAAATAACCCCATCTTAGAATAGCATTTTAGCAATATGCTATGAAAGAGAATACATACCTGATACTCGCCGATCAAATCTGCTAGGAATTGGAACTGCAAAACAAAGAAGGAACATTTAGTTTGTCATCATGTCACATGACCTAATTTTAATTTTTTTATATTTTTTATTTATTTACGATAGTCACAGAGAGAGAGAGAGAGACATAGGCAGAGGGAGAGGGAGAAGCAGGCTCCATGCACCAGGAGCCCGATGTGGGACTCGATCCCGGGTCTCCAGGATCAGGCCCTGGGCCAAACGCAGGCGCCAAACCGCTGCGCCACCCAGGGATCCCTACATGACCTAATTTTTAACAATAGAACTAAAAGCACCTTATTACCAAATGTTAGGTCAATTCATACTCTTCTGTAATCAACCACAGGTTGAACCACTGTTGAACATGATCACAAAAGGCAATAAAGGAAGAACTTACATCTTTGAAAACAAGCTCTTTATAACTTCAATGTACTCAGGGTGGCAATTCCATTTCTGTTTACATCCATGTTCCATCTAACTTGTGTCATATCAAATGAATAAGAACTCTAAATTTATTGGTACTGTTATGATATTAAATAGTTAATTTTCTTCTTTAATATTCTTAAAAAATAATCCCAAGATCTGCTGGACAACATCTAAATTTCATTTTAAAATAACTGAATGAGCAGCCTGGGTGGCTCAGTAGTTTAGTGCCGCCTTCAGCCCAGGGTGTGATCCTGGAGAGCTGGGATCAAGTCCCATGTTGGGGTCCCTGCATGGAACCTATTCTCCCTCTGCCTGTGTCTCTGCCTCTGTGTGTGTGTGTGTGTGTGTGTCTGTGTGTCTCATGAATAAATAAAATCTTTAAATAACTAAGTATTAGACTAAAATGAAAAAGAAATTAACCATTAAGTTATATTCTTCCTCAATATGCCCACAGTTAGTATATTAATCAGAAAAATGTACCACTTGTTTTAGGTTAAAAAAACCACATAAGTTTTATCTTTGCTAATCTCTTCTACTTTTCACCTGTCATTTGTTATGTTTAATGTTATCTAAATTCTCACTACACCTATGTCATTTGAATACAATGTTTTTTTAAAAGATATTATTTATTATTTATTTTATTTATTTTTTAAGTAAACTCCACCCAATGTGGGTTTCAAGCTCATGACCCCAAGATCAAGAGTCACATGCTCCACTGACTGAACCAACGAGACACTCCAAGGTTGTTTTTTTTAACCTTCAGAGCTTGATTTGATTATTTTTATTTAAAAAAATTATGTAAAACATGCCTTCTCACCTTCTATAAAAAGAAACTTGATTAGTGAAAAACAAATTGAAGATGGCCCAGAGAGCCAAATTCAACTAATGTGAGGCCTCTGAAACAAAAATAGACCCAGGAAGAAGATAAATGCTCACTCACCATAAGAGGACTAGAATTATCTTTTTGTATAACATGGGGTAAAATGTTAGGAACAAATAGGCAAGAATACAAAAGAAAAACCCCAGCCATTATTGATAGGAAGTACCTACAACAGTCCCTCTTACTACTTCCTCAATAAAACTGTGGATCTGTCAAAATTAATCTACCCACCAGCAAACAAAGATGATAAATTCAGTTCAACAGATATAGATAGGGTACCTAGTGCATGGTATGCACTGTAGTAGACAATTTGTTATACACCAGTAAATAAAACAAAGACTCCTAGTTTCATGAAGTTTGCATTCTAGCTTGAGGGATGTGGGGAGGGTTTCCTCTGATCACTTAAAACACATGTTCCTGTCACTCAGGCAGACAGATGAAATGTGTACCAAATTAAACCCACAACAGAGGCCTCATGGGATTTCCATAATTAAAATCCCACTAAACATTAGTATACAACCTAAAATTATAAAACATACAATGAAACAATTTAGCATGGGTACAATCAGAGGATATTTCAAACAAAGGGTTAGATACCAAGATTATAGAACTATTATAAAATGAGAACAGAATTTTTTATTTTTTATTTATTTTTTATTTTTATTTTTGAAATTTATTTTTTAATTTTTATTTATTTATGATAGTCACACATAGAGAGAGAGAGAGAGAGAGAGAGGCAGAGACATAGGCAGAAGGAGAAGCAGGCTCCATGCACTGGGAGCCCGACATGGGATTCGATCCAGGGTCTCCAAGATCGCGCCCTGGGCCAAAGGCAGGCGCTAAACCGCTGCGCCACCCAGGGATCCCGAGAACAGAATTTTTTAAAAGATTTTATTTATTTATTCATAAGAGACACAGAGAGAGGCAGAGACATAGGCAGAGGGAGAAGCAGGCTCCCCACGGAGAGCCCAATGTGGGACTCTATACCAGGACTCTGGGATCACGCCCTGAGCCAAAGGCAGACACTCAACTGCTGAGCCACCCAGGCATCAAAAGAATAGAATGCTTAAAACAAAAACATTAAAAAAAAACAGAAATCTAAAGTATAAATAAAGGAATAAGATACAACCAAAGCAAAATAAAACAGGGAAACTTGAAAAAAATTTGGAACTTCTAGGAAAAGAGTAACACATTGAAATTTTAAAAACTATGATGCAAAGCACCCTGTCTGGGTACATAAAATCTAAAAGTGCTTGAAAAATCACTGTAAAACATCACTACCAACAATTTACTACAATAATAATGATTTAAATGTATAGACGCAAATCAAAAAGAAAATGAGAAAATAGCTTGAGATGAATGAAAACAAAAACACAATATGCCAAAACTTATGGGATGTACTGAAAGTAGTGCTAAGAGGGAAATTTACAGCTTACAAATGCCTATGTTTAAAAAGAAGAAAAGCCTCAAATTAATAAGTTAATTACACACCTTAAGGAAGTAGGGGAAAAAGGGCAAACTAAATCCCGAAGCAGCAAAAATAAAGAAATTCAGAGGGGAGAGAAAGTACAAAATAGAGCACTGAAAAAAAATCAGTGAAACTAAAAGTTGATTCTTTGAAAAGATCAACAAAATCAGTAAACTGTTAGCTAGACTGACAAAGAAAAAAAGAAAAAAAAATTTTTTAAAGATTTTATTTATTCATGAGAGACACAGAAAGAGAGAGAGAGAGAGAGACAGAGAGAGAGAGACAGAGAGAGAAGCAGGCTCCATGCAGGGAGCCCGACACGGGACTCGATCCTGGGTCTCCTGGACCAGGCCACGGGCCAAAGGCAGCACTAAACTGCTGAGCCACCCAGGCTGCCCAGAAAAAAGAAAATTCAAATTACTAAAATTAAAGTAGGGACATTACAATGGAATACACAGAAATAAAACAGATTATAAGAGAATATTATGAAAAACAGTATTTCAACAAATTGGATAACCTAGATGAAACATGAAAATATTCATTATGAATATAGACACAAAAATCCTCCAAAAAATACTAGTACACAAAACCTAGCAATATACTTATTGTAAAGATTTTATTTTTTAAAAAGATTTTATTTATTTATTTATGACAGAGACAGAGAAAGAGAGAGGGAGAGACATAGGCAGAGGGGAGAAGCAGGCTCCATGCAAGAGCCCAACGCAGGACTTGATCCTGGGACTCCAGGATCATGCTCTGAGTGGAAGGCAGATGCTCAACTGCTGAGCCACCCAGGCATCCCTAAAGATTTTATTTTTACTTATTTGAGAGAGAGCAAGAGCATGAGCATGATGCAGGGAAGGGCAGAGGGAGAGGGATAAGCAGACTCCCACTGAGCAGGGGGCCCGATGTGGAACTCAATCCTAGGACCCAGAGATTATGACCTAAACTGAAGGCAGATGCTTAAATGACTGAACCACCCAGATGCCCCCAAACCCGGCAACATATTAAAGTGATTATACACCATGACCAAGTGGGATTTATCCCAGGAATCCCAGGAATATCCCTGGGATTTATCCCAGGAATAAGAGTATCAAGCAATATACACCACATTAATAGAACAAAGTTGGGGGGGACTACATCATCATCTCACTGATGCACAAAAAGCATTTGACAACACATTCTTTCATGATAAAATAGGAATTATAAGGGAATTTTGTCAGCATGAAAAAGGCACATATGAAAAACCCACAGCTAACACCAACTCAATGGTAAAAGATTGTAAGCTTTCTCCTTAAGATCAGAAACAAGGCAAAATGTCTGTTTTGCTGCTTCTACTGAATATATTACTGAAAGTTTTGGCCAGAACAATTAGGAAAGAAAAAAATAAATAAAAGTAATCCGGGGTGCCTGGGTGGCTCAGTTGGTTAAATGTCTACCTTCAGTTCAGGTCAACTCAGGGTCCTGGAATAGGGGCCTTTATGGGTCTCTCTGCTCAGTCTGCTTCTCCTTCTCCCTCTGCCCCTCTCCCCTGCTTCTGCTCTCTCCTGCTCTCTCTCTCAAACAAATAAATAAAATCTTAAAAAAAAAAACAAAGATTAAAAAACAAGAATATATAATAAAGGTTGGTAAGGATATGAAGGAATGGAATCCTTTTGCACTGTTGGTCAAAATATAAAATCATGCAGCTGCTGTGTAAAATAGTATGGCAGCTCCTCAAAAGATTAAAAATGAATTATCATATCCAGCAATTCCACTTCTGGGTATATGTCCCAAAAGAACTGAAAGCAGGATCTCAAAGAGATATTACAGTATACCCACATATATAGCCAAAAGGTAGAAGCAACCCAAGTACCCACTAATAAAAAAAATATGGTATACATACAATGGGATATTATTCAGTTTTTAAAATGAAGGAAATTGTGAAACGTAATTACAAGTTTAGATGAATGAATCTTGAAAACATTATGCTAAATGAGGTCAGCTACATAAGTGATTCCACTTATATTAGGTACCTAGAATAGTCAAATTCATAGAAATAGAGAGCAAAACAGTGGTTGCTAGGGGTTGGGGGAAGGGAGGAGGAGATATTGTTTAATGGGTACAGAGTTTCAGTTTTGCAATACGCAAAGATGTCCAGAGATAGGCAGTGGTGATTGTTATGAATGTACTCAATGGCAATAAACTACAACTTTAAAATGGTAAATTTTATGTTATGTGTATCTGTCTACAATTAAGAAAAATTA